ACTTAGTCAAAACATCCAGTTTAACATCTGTGATTCACTTTAAAGAAACCAGAACTGTTCCCTAGCTCCAGGAGCTCAGGTGGCCTCATAATTTGTTGTTTCCTTGTGCTCAGGAAAAGTACTGACAGCTCATAATTGGTCATATTTCTTAGGAAATTTGCATTTAAACTGGGAACAATGCTTGTTCTTTTTTTGGTATAATCTGTCTTACATTTTTGAAAGTAATAACTATTCATTAAATTACATTTGAAAAATGCAGGAAAAAAGAAAAACATTGTCTGTAGTCCTACCACTCATATAAAGCTACTATTCACTTACATGTATTTTCTTCTGATAATATTTCAATGCGTGTCTCCATTTTAGCTGCATTTATATCAGTCAAATTTTATATCACATATTTTACTTCTTGGTATGCTATAAGCATCACCAATGTCAATACAAACTCCATGTAAACATCAGTTTAATGCTTGGAAAGTCTTATGTTAAATGGATATGCCGTGGTTTATTTAATCATTATCTTTATTGTTAATATTTACATTGTTTATACTGTTTACTACTGAAAAATCATGTTGCAATGAAGATCTTTGGGTAGACATGTTTTCTATATTTTCAGTTATTTCTTAAAATATATTTCTGGAGGGGCGCCTGGGTGGCTCAGTCGTTGGGCGTCTGCCTTTGGCTCAGGTCATGATCCCGGGGTCCTGAGATCGAGCCCCGCATCGGGCTCCCTGCTCCGCGGGAAGCCTGCTTCTCCCTCTCCCACTCCCCCTGCTTGTGTTCCCTCTCTCGCTGTGTCTCTCTCTGTCAAATAAATAAAATCTTTAAAATATATATATATATATATATATTTCTGGAGAAGGACTTATTAGGTAAATGGATATGAACAATTTCAGGATACACACACACACATATATATACATATATATACACACACACACAATTTCACTAAAGGACATAATAATTAAGAGTGCTCAGCTATGGAGGATGACTGTATCATATGCCTATGTTCATGGAACATCATCGTCACTGATCCATGGAACTTCCCATTCTTTACTGATTGATTAATTTCCTTTTATTTCCATCTTCATTCTTTTTACCCCTTCTCTCACCATAGGAGACCAATCTAATATGCTTGATATATATTCCTTTATTTGCATGTGGTTATATAAGCATGCATTTTTTAAAGATTTTATTTATTTGAGAGAGAGAGAGAGCATGAGAGGGGAGAGGGTCAGAGGGAGAAGCAGACTCCCTGCTGAGCTGGGAGCCTGATGTGGGACTCGATCCTGGGACTCCAGGATCATGACCTGAGCTGAAGGCAGTCGCTTAACCAACTGAGCCACCCAGGGCGCCCCAAAGCATGAATTTTTATTTTGTATGCACATATGTTAAATACACACAAATGACATTGTGTGATCCACCTCATATGGTGTCTTACTTTTTTCAGCCAATGCTTTTTTTAAGATCTATCCATATTGTTCTGTGTAGATCTAGTCTGTGACTCCTGAGTGCTGCATGACATTCTGTTCTGTGCATTATTCTATTATACTTCTCTAGTTACTAACTAGTAGACTCCCCTAAGCTGTCTCTAGTTCTGTACCACAACAACAGTGTGGGGAGGAACTTCCCTGTTCACACCCCTCATGGATCTGTGGGAGATACACACTCAGAGAGACACTGCTGGGTCTCAAGGCAGACATCTGTCTCACTGGACTAAAGCACTGTTTGGTTGTTTCCCAGAGTGATTGCTCTGGTCTGTACTCTCTAGCAGAGCACGCAAGTTCCTATATCCACACTTTCCACCAACACTTGGCATTATCCAACTTTCTAAATTTCCCACTCTGACAGTGGCAAAGTGACATCTCATGGTTGTTTTCTTTTGCATTTCCCTAAACGTGGATGAGTTTGAGCCCCTCTCTCTCTCTTATTTTTTAAGATTTTATTTATTTATTTATTTTAGCGAGGGGAGGAGGGTGGAGGGAGAGAAAATCTCCTTCAGACTCCTTGCTGAGCACTGAGCCCAACAGGGGGTCTTGATCTCATGACCCTGAGATCATGACCTGAGCCGAAATCAAGAACTGGAGGGGGAGATGAACCATGAGAGATGATGGACTCTGAAAAAACAAACTGAGGGTTCTAGAGGGGAGGGTGGTGGGAGGATGGGTTAGCCTGCTGATGGGAATCAAAGAGGGCACGTTCTGCATGGAGCACTGGGTGTTATGCACAAACAATGAATCATGGAACACTACATCGAAAACTAATGATGTAATGTATGGTGATTAGCATAACATAATAATAAAAAAAAAGACTGAAAAAAAAAAGAGTCGGTTGCTTAACCCACTGAGCCACTAGGCGCCTTTATTTCTTAATTTTATATTATTTTCCATCTGTCTGTGCCTTTTAATGCTTCAGGTCTATGCTATATAAATTATTAGAGCCCTATATTGTGATGTTAATAGCCAGTAGCACTGATCCTCTTTCATTACTTTTCCTAACTTTCTTAAATACTCTGATTTATTTTATTTCATTTTGTTTTACCACACTGACTAGAACATCCAGTATTAAGATTAAATAGAAAAAAATGTTAACAAGTACTTTAACAGAAGAGCTTCTACAATTTCAAACTTAAATATAATGTTTGCTGTAGGCTTTTAGTAGAAACTCTTTGAAGTTGAGGAAGTTCTCTTTATTTCTTTATTATACGACACAGCAACCACAAGATAGAAGGAGAGAGATTGACTACACCAAGTGCTGGTGAGGCTGTGAAGCCCCCAGAACTCTCATACTGTTCTGGTGGGCATTCAAATTGATACAAGTCCTTTGGATGATTTCAGTTTCTACTAAGTTTGGAAATATAAACTGTGACCCAGCAATTCCACACAGGGATAAGCCCCTAGAAATGCAAATATAGGTGTAAGAAGAGGTATGTACAAGAATAGTAATAGCAACAAAGAGCTGGAACAACTCCAACCACCATCAGCAGTAGAGTGGATAAATAATTTGTGCTGCATTCATATAGTGGTGTCCTCTACAATAATAAAAGTCAGTGAATTATGCTTGCATGCAATAACTAACTAACATGATGTTGAACTAACATGATGTTGAACAGAAGAGTATATATTACTACATTTAAAAAACAGGTAAACTAGGGGCAGTCGGTTAAGTGTCTGCCTTCGGCTCAGGTCATGATCTCAGGGTCTTGGGATCAAGCCACATCGGGTTCCCAGCCTGTTTCTCCCTCTCCCTGTGCCCCTCTCCCTGGCTGTGCTCTCTCTAATAAATAAATAAATAAAATCTTTTAAAAAAATAAAAATAAGTAAAAGCAGGCAAACTATGGTAATATATATAAGGACAGTGGCTACTTCTGGGTGAGGAGCAATGAATGGAAGGAGCATTAGGAAGACCTCTGAGGGGCTGGTGGCCCTCTACTTCTTAATCCTAGTGGTAATTGTAGGGTTGTGTTTTTCTCTACTTAAATACTTTTTTTTTTAGTGTTTAAGCTTGCTTAATGAATGGCTAAATAAATGAAACAATGAATGAAATTTAGTGTAAATTAAACTGGAAAAAATGCTTGCTTGTATTGGAAATGAGATTTGTTTTACTTTGGTTTGTTTTGGTTTTGCCCTGGTTCTACCTCTAATGAGCTACGAGATTTTTTTCAGCAGGTCATTTCCCCACTTTGAACTTCTGTTCCTAATTTCTAAAAATGGCAGACTGAATCAAGTGATCTTTATATACTTCCCCAGTTCTAAGATGATGTATCATAAGAGCTTCCAGGAAGTCACCTGAATTTCTTCTTTTTTGATGAACTACTGACTGTGAGGACTAGCTGGTCCCTTTTGTTCTTTATACTCAGCCAGCATTGTCCCAATTATCCTTTGGCTTTTCTACGAGCTTCCTGGATGATCACAACACAAACTGCCTGTGCCAATCAATAGTTATTTTTCTCATTCTAACTTACATTCTTTATCTGATTGATATATCAAACTTTTGAGAGTCTGTTTGGCATAAATCTATACCCATATATTTCTGGAACTATAAACCTGAAGAACAGTTGGTAATGATTCTACTTAAATGACCAGTTGGTTGTAATAATCCACTGCCAGCTCCTTATTAAGGGATGGCACTGCAGACTCTGGAAAAAGCCCATCCTCTTCCCATGACAGAACTGTTCTTCTATGCCCATAACCATTCTCAATTTCTGGAGCAAGAGCAGCTCTCACACTTAGATGTTCATGTGGCTTCCAAGAAGAAACACCATGTGCCAAAGCCTTTCTTGTGCCTACATGTGTTCAAGTGACTGAGTTCTGTCAAATGAGGTGGGAACAGAAATGACATGTCCAACATCTTGTTTGTGCTCTTAAAGGACATCGGTGCATCCTTTCATTTCTGTTTTCTTTCTTGCTGGCTGGAATGTAGATGAAGCTTTGTAGACAGAGACAAATCCCTGGAATTGTTAAAGATGTGTTGGAGAGGGCACCTGGGTGGCTCAGTCATTAAGCATCTGCCTTCGGCTCAAGTCATGATCCCAGGGTCCTGGGATCGAGTCCCACATCAGGCTCCCTGTTCGGCAGGAAGCCTGCTTCTCCCTCTTCCACTCCCCCTGCTTGTGTTCCTGTTCTTGCTATCTCTCTGTCAAATAAATAAATAAAATCTTTAAAAAAAAACAAGATGTGTTGGAGAAGGTCAGATAACAGGGGCCCTGGCTCTTGAGAGATCTATGGCTCCCAGCTGCCTCAGAATCTTATTCCTTTAGGAAAAAGCAAAATAACTTCTCTCTTGTGTATACCGCTGTTACTTTGGATTTTTGTCCCAAGGTACAGAAACTATATCCTAACTAATATACTCCTTAAATGTGTTACTGGAACCACACACCATGACGGGATCGAGTCTATGATAGGGAGAGTACACAGGGTAACTGGACTATTGTTTTTCCTATGGTTTTTAAATTTGATGTTAACGTTTTTCTTCTCTTTCTAACTTGGCTCTGCATCTTGCAGGACATCCAACAATGAAGGAAAGAAAATTCAACATAAGGGCTGCTCCTCAGAAGACTGACCTTGAGATATGGGCAAATCAGCCAAGTTACCGTAGGCTGGGCTGCTTGGTGTTCTCTTTTCAGAGAAGCTGGAGGAAATGGTTGAGGAAAAGAGCAATTTACAATGTAGGGGTTAATCATCTGAAATCATTAAAATCATCCATTAAGGAAATAAAGAATGTGGTTCTTAGAGTGGATAGTTAAATATGTTTTGAAAATCTTTCTTGTTGAACCAACAGAAAATGTCTCTAATGGTAAAAACCAAGAAGGAGAGAGGTGGAGAAGAAGTGTAAGGGTTAGAAAGGAAACAAATAATTATAAAGGATTAGAGATGCAGAATATATCAACATTCTGGTATTTACAAAATTGATCAACCTTAAACATAGTAAATTCTTTAAGGACATAGGTGTCTTTTCTCATACTTCCTGTCTGCTGTCACTGCCATAAGAGGAAAAGACAGAGAGGCTCCTGCACTCAGAATTGGTTACTGATGCAACATGAAGTATGTGGTGGGTTCTCTTTGGCTGCCTGGGTGAGAAGAACAAAGTCTCTGCCCTCATGGAGCTCACATTGGGGAGACAAACAATAAGTGAATAAACAAACATATACAATATGATGCCAAATGCCCATAAGTGCAAGAAACAATAATAAAGCATGAAAAAGGTACTGTGAGTGACAGGGCATGGGAAATGTGCTATTTTCGGATGAATGGTGGGGGCATGCCTCTCTGACAAATTGATATTTAAACAGAGTTTTGAATAAAGTGACAGAGAGGGTATCTAGAGGAAGACCTTTCCAAATTGAGGGAACAGCAACTGCAGAGGCCCTGAGGATGGATAGAACTAGATTCTTTCAAGGGTGGATGACAGACATGTCATGGGAAGGCTGCCACTCTCCCCCGTTCTGCCGAGGAAAGACAGACAACACAGGTTTGGACCCTGCACTTCTCACTGGGCTAGTACAGCCTCAGAATCCTTCTGAACCCAATACTCTGATAAATTAGTGATAGGTAAGAGTAAGTGCAGGGATCAAAGCCATTTGTTATCACTGCCTTAGAGTTTAGTCTTCTAAATTTTAGCCCATAATGCTGTCTTCAGCTCCAATGATTTTCGTGTCACTGATATTGCCTCCCACTGTGTGGGGTTGGAAGAAGCATAATGGCCAGGAAAACCTCATTGCCAAGGATACCTTTACTAATATTTACTACTAAAGTGAAAATATTGAGAAGCCACGCTACCGACGGCCCACTCTGCTCTGCTCACTAGGCCCACTGGCCCGCGCCCATCATGGCCACCATTCAGCAACTGGTAGGAAGATGGTGCTTAGTGGAAAGCAAAGGCTTTGACAAATACATGAAGCAAGTAGAAGTGGGAATGGCCAAACCAGATTGTATCATCTCTCTTTTTTTTTTAAAGATTTTATTTATTTATTTGAGAGAGAGAATGAGATAGAGAGCATGAGAGGGGGGAGGGTCAGACGGAGAAGCAGACTCCCTGCTGAGCAGGGAGCCCGATGCGGGACTCGATTCCGGGACTCCAGGATCATGACCTGAGCCGAAGGCAGTCGCCTAACCAACTGAGCCACCCAGGCGCCCTGTATCATCTCTTCTGACGGCAAAAACCTCACCATAAAAACTGAGAGCACTTTGAAAATAACACAGTTTTCATGTAACCTGGGAGAGGAGTTTGAAGAAACTACAGCTGATGGCAGAAAAACTCAGACTGTCTGAAGCTTCACAGACAGCGCATTGGTTCAACATCAGGAATGGGATGGGAAGGAAAGCACAATCACAAGAAAATTGGAAAATGGGAAATTAGTGGTGGAATGCATCATGAATAATGTCACCTGTACTCAGGTCTATGAAAAAGTAGAGTAAAAATTCCATCGTTATTGTGGACAGGAATTAGCTGTGAGGATGAACAAGCTCAGTTCAATGAGCAAATCTCCATACTGCTTTTTTTTTCATTACTGTGTTCAATTATCTTTATCACAAACATTTTACATGCATCTATTTCAAAGTGTTGATTTAATTAGGATCATCCCTTTGGTTAGTAAATAAATTTGTGCTAAAAAAAATAAAAATAAAAAAGTGAAAATATTTACTATTAAATGTATTAAAGTATTTATTAAAATATTTGCTTATTATTTATTAAAATTAAAATATTTACTATGGATTAAGTATTTATTAAAATACTTAAATACAAAATGTTTACTATTTGGTATTGCTATGGGCACTCTGCTGAGGCTTAAGGAACTAGGAATAAAATATTTCATGACCTCATAAATCAGAAAGGTATGAAAGCAAAGTCATTACAATATGGTGAAACAGATATGGTAAGAACTCTGCGAGCAGTATGCCTAATGCAACAAGTAACCATACACTGTTAGGAAAGGAAGGGTGGTGACAAAGGGTTTAGGAGCAAATGGACTTGTGCTCTTTTCTCCTTTGCCATGTTTTAGCCACTCCTATGACCTTTGTGGAATTCAGTTAACCTCTATGAGCCTTGATAAAACCCACTTATCAAGTGGTCATAAAACATAAAAGGCACCAAGCAAAGCACATGGCACAGAGCCTAGCACATAGTAGACACTCAATAAATAGTAGTTTTTGGTCAAGGAAAATTTGAGTCAGGAAATGTATGTGTGATAACTGCTGGGAGTTCAGATCATCAGTTGTGTAAAATAGGGGGAAAAAAAGCAAGACAGAATTCTATGTGGTTAATCAAAGAGGCATGAAAGAATTGTAACATCTACGGGGATTACTTTATTAGTGTAAGTACCAGTAGGACAAAAACAATGTGCAAATTAGTTGCACAATTCCATCGATCACAAAACACACCCCAATATCAGAGATGTTGAAATTTGAAAAACATACACGTTAGAATCAATAAAATTGGTGCTTAATGAACATAAGATACAGAAGAGAATGAAAACAAGGGAGGCTGGATAAGCCAGCAAGAAAGAGTCCTTAAGCGCATGCTCGTGTGTGCATGTGTGGGCGTGTGTGTGCGTGTGTGTGCATGTGTGTTTCAAATTAAAAAACCAGGACATTATCCTGTGGCCAAACTAGAGCCTTTAAAGATTTTAGGTCAGGAGGACATAGGAGAAGTTTGGAGGTATGGTGGAAAGGATTGGAAAAATGGCCTGACACCAGTTATGAGTTTGTGGCATCCTTTTGATTAGAAATTAGCACCTTGACTGTGCATTACAATTGCCTATGAAGATTTTCAAAGAATATGTCCATTTCTCCATTTTGATAAGTTGTTTCTTCATTGGCATAAAGTTTTTATAATGTATACCTATTGTCTGTGAATGTCTGTAGACTCTGTAGTGATGTCCCCCCTTTCACTCCTGATAACTTGTGTTTTCTGTCTTTTTTTTGCCTTGATGAATCTAGTGAGAAATTTATTGGGATTATTATTCTTTCTCTTTCACTCAAGGGTTATTTAGAAGGATGTTCCTCAGTTTTCAAGTATTCTCGAGATACCTTATTGTTTCTGATTTCTAGCTTAATTCCAGTGTGGAAAGAGAATTTATTCTGTGTGATTCAAATCCTGTGAAATCTACTGAAACAATTTATGAGCAATAGAGTGTACTTCGGGGAATATGTCATATGCACCTCATGTTTATAGTCGACTAATAGTTGACTATTACCCTAATTGGGAAATTTAGACTCGATGTACAAGTCTAAGTCCAGAAGTTTAGAATTTTCATATTGGTTTCTTTTTTTGTGGACTATAACAACTATTTCAAATATTTACTATTAAACCATCCTAAAACCTTGTACATGAAAACAAAGGAACTTATTTTTACTCCCTACTTTTGCAATGTCTCTCATTCTTTCCTATTTTTAATCCTTCTGCTTTAGGTTTTATACAACTATACTCATAATTGGCATACCATCTTTGACTCATGTAAGGCAATTTTTCTTATTTCTAATGAAACTGCGAACTGTTTATTTTACAATACTTATTTGTATAAAAGTGTTCTGAATAGTATTTTGAGATTTTTCCTCATATTTAAATATTAGAACTATTCATTATTTTTTAATATTATAAATACCTGCTATCAATAGCTTTGCACATCTTGGGTTTTTCCTTCCTCTTTTGCATTATTTCCTTGAAATACTCTGCTAAAAAAGATACTATTGGATAAAGGGTTTCGGTACATTTTGGATGTGCCTATTTGGCCCAGTAGCCCTTGAAGAGGCTGCACCACTATTATCAATTTACTACAGTTAAGTCTCCTTTCTTGCCTTTCTACCATTGCTCTTGATATTTCTACTCTCCAGCATTCCTGTCCTCTTAGGAAACTCCTTTTTTTTAATACTCTGGATGGACTCCTCCTGCTCTACATCCAAACTCAAATGCCATCTATAAAACACTGCAGAATTCCCGGGAGGCATGGTCACCACCTTCCTTCATTCTGATAACATTCTATGCCCATCTCAACTGTGACACTAACTGCATTGACCTTTCCTTTGTTCTCTCCTCCCTCATATGTTGTCAATCGTCTTATGAAAACCCTTAATGTCCACAGTGAGTGACATGCAGAAGGTATTTGCCAAGCTTCTGTTGACTGAACTTACATTTCTCTAGCAATAATGAACAGACCCTGTTCTGCACAGTCTGGCTGACTGTAAATTAGTTTTATCATTTTATTTGCTTCTTTATTGCTTAATGGCTTATATTTATGTTTACTCAGTAAGAACCTAGATAAACACCAATCTGGGCTAGCTACTGTGATTTGTGACATATAAGAATTTTACTATAGTAAGTAGAAGCTGATTTTACCCAGAGATACAATTTTTCTGGATTATTTATTGACTTATTTATTTGGCACTTAGAAAAGTAAGGTTAAGTCACCTGTAAGGGATTGTTATCCTATTTGAACCTCTACACGGGGCAATCTCCAGATGAATATCCAGCTGCAGCCCCTAGGACAGCCAATACAGTCCTTCAGAAAGGCTAGTAAAGGTGCTAAAATGAGAACTTGAAGCTCCCCGGATGCTGCCCGCACTCACCATTTAATCCAACCCATTCACCATCTCTTCAAAACTCATTTTGATTTCTACAGAGAATTAACCATTACAAAATGACCCATATTAAGTGGAGCTACAGTGAGGAACAGAGAAGTTACAAAAGTGCCTGTCCCATTTTTTTCTCCACTTAAGGGCGACTCATATTTTGATTAAAATTTAGAGAAAATGAAGATAGGAAGTTTCAAAATTGCTCAAGCAATGACTTACAAAATCCACTGATTCATATTTAAGAAGGGAAAAATTTTCCTTCCCCAAAGCAGGAGGGAATCAAAAAATATTTGAGGGGAATGGTAAGCACCTAAAAATCTTAGGAAGAAGGTACAGAAAATATAGTTAAAGAAACTACCTTTTGAAAGTGATCAATAAGAGATAGTGCATAAGTGCTTCAGTCACACAATAGTATTAAAAACACCACTTAGCACGTAAGAGGCTTCTTTGATTCTGCTTATTTGTAAAGTTATATATTAACTTTTGCATTTGGCAAAAATTACTCAACTTTGGGTCAGGACTGAGAGCTGTTCAAATATTCCTTGCCTATCAGGAGGAGGATGAAGAGGGATGGAGAGGACATCAGCCCATTGGGTGGCCGCCATGGAGGATGAGGTTGTGTCTGTGGCTGCCGGAAATGGAGGGGACATCCTGTGACTGAGAGAGACAGTGGGGGCAACTGCAGCATTTGGTACTTAGGATTGGGTGAGATGTCAAATCTAATCTGAAAACTGGAGAAGTCTGAACAGTTTGGCATATCTGAGGGTCCAAAAGCTCTTGGATCCATAGTTGGTGTTGGAAGCTGGGACAGTTGCAGAGAGCCACAGTTAGAATAGTCCATGAGGGGCTCTGGGTGACTGCCTGAAATACATTTTGTTTTTGAACTGTTTTCTATGTACCAGCCACAGCTTGAAGAATGGGTGAGTGGCCTACTTTAAAAGCCAGGAATACGATACACAAAGCCTTGGTAAATAGTGCCAAATTGTCTCCAGAATAATTTTACCAAGTTATATTCCCACCAACAGAGAATGAGTGTACTTCCTCACTATGCCCTTGCCAGGATAAGGATAAATCCTTTTTTTTTTTTTAATTTTTTGCTTCTTTGCCAATTTGGCAAAGAAGAAAAAGGACATGTTGCTTTAATTTGCACTTTTAAGGTGCCAATAAACACCTTTTCTATATTGTATTTATCTTGATAGAAATTATTTGATAATGTCTTTTATTTTTTTAATTTTATTTTTTAATTTTTATTTAAATTCAATTAGTTAACATATAATGTATTATTAGTTTCAGAGGTAGAGGTCAGTGATTCATCAGTCTTATATAATACCCAGTGCTCATTCCATCACGTGCCCTTCTTAATGTCCATCACCCAGTTACCCCATTCCCCCAGCCCCCGCCCCTCCAGCAACTCTCAGTTTGTTTCCCATAATTAAGAGTCTCTTATGCTTTATCTCCCTCTCTGATTTCATCTTATTTTATTTTTTCCTCTCTTCCCCTATGCTCCTCTGTTTTGTTTCTTGAACTCCACATATGAGTGAGATCATATAATAATTGTCTTTCTCTGACTTATTTTGCTTAGCATAATACCCTCTAGTTCCATCCACATCATTGCAAATGGCAAGATTTCATTTTTTGATGGCTGAGTAGAATTCCATTGCATATATACCACATCTTCTTTAACCGTTCATCTGTTGATGGACATCTGGGCTCTTTCTATAGTTTATGGCTATTGTGGACACTGCTGCTATAAACATTGGGATGCAGGTGCCCCTTCAGATCATTACATTTGTATCTTTGGGGTTAATACCTAGTAGTGCAATTGCTGGGTCATACGGTGCTCTATTTTCAATGTTTTGAGTAACCTCCATACTGTTTTCCAGAGTGGCTGCACCAGCTTGCATTCCCACCAACAGTGTAGGAGAGTTCCCCTTTCTCCACATCCTCACCAACATCTGTAATTTCCTGACTTGTTAATTTTAGCCATTCTGACTGGTGTGAGGTGGTATCTCATCATGGTTTTGATTTGCATTTCCCCGATGACAAGTGACG